CCGCCTTATTTATTTGCTCGAAATTATGTCGTCAAAAAATAACAGTTACACGTTATCGTAGATCGTTACTTGTACCATACGCACAGGCAGAGAGACGTAGGCGCCAGCACACTTTTTCTTATGAATGACCGACGTAGCACGTTTTCTGACGTATCCTAACGGCGCGTGTGCGTGTGCTAGTGTGTACACACATTAACATAGCAAGTAGTACAACGGTTAGACGTTAGCGTCGACTTCGGCCGACCTGCTGATCGCCGATTGAAGTGATGCGGATCTGAGAAAAATCGTGTCCACAATGTTGCCGGTAACCCTTGACGCTTTGAGCTCTAATCGCATTTTTGTGCGCAGGACCGAGCTCAATTCAACGAAAACAGGCAGACTTTCGTGTTCTTAGAAAATGACGTTAACCGTTATTTGCTCACCCATTAAAACATTTATCGCCGGAGCTATTTAGATACGTATCTAGTTAGCTCTCGAGAAGGTGAGAGACGAGAAAGAAACAGCCGGAAAGAACAAAGGAAAGTGAACGTGCGAGACAGATTCGGGGTAGCGTTTTTCGCGACGATTCTTTTCGTCACTATCGGCAGATGAAACACGCAGTGCAACAGGCAGCAGAGACAGAGCGAAGGCGAACCCATCGCAACAGACACAGGGTGTGTAGTAGAGGTGGTGGTCAATGGGCGAGGTGCGGAGCGCGCTGAGGTGCGGAGCGTGCTGAGGTGCTGCCGAATGCGGTTGGCACTTTTCGAAAAGGGGTGCACGTTGTAGTCGTCGTCGTCACTGCTGCCGCCGCCGCCGCCGACTGGCTTCGTGATAATAAATAGAACGTGGAATAATAGAAAATAAATATGGAACGAGTGGAGAGATGGTCGTTAATGTGATAACGGTTTCACTGCCGATAATCAACTAATATTTCCTGATGTCTACATTGACAAGGAGGCTATGGTCGCCGTTAGATAACACTGTAATAATAGCGGTCGCTCAACAGCACGACCGTATCATTATTATGGAATTTCCTAAGGTGGCCGTAACGCGTGAGTTTGACTACTACAGCGGGTCGTGGAGTTGTTTATAATCGGTAGACATATGTACTGTTTAGCCAGCAGTGTTTTCCGGCTTATAAAGCGATGCTTACATTTCTCAATGAAGTGTCTGATTAAGGGCTTGGCTTGGGCGGGTCGAGGAAGAAGGTGAGACATCGATTTAATTGTCGTCGCCTTCGTCACCGCTTCATCCATCAACGAAGAATTGCAGAAAGGACAAATTGGACTCGAAATCAAACATCTAGTAAAATCTAGAAATAAAAAAAGCTATTATTAGCCGTAGAGCTATTGCAGAGACGTACTGCTACGCCTTGGCATCGCGTCAGCAATACTGATAACTATAGCGATATGTCGATAATAGCCTGATTATAATGATACACTTTCTATCACAATGCCAAAGTGCGATAAGGATTAATAATAACTGAACTTATAATGGCAGCAGTAATTTTTGGTGTTCCGGCACCAGCAGCGACCTCTGACGGCCGGTTGAGCAGCTGTCATGTTAGCGAGTGATAGAATTATCTTTTGTGACGATTTTCTGTTGATTTTGAATTCACGCACGCACATACGGACGAACAGGCGTATCGAGCCTCTGTTGCCGCTGCTGTCATTGTGTTTCTTCGATCATTTCCGCAACCAAACGGTTTCTATTCATATCATCATCATCGTCGTCGTCGCCATCATACGGTCGTTGTCGTACGAGGCAGAATTAAGACGGGTGTGGGGCAGTTGATTTTGATGATGTCACGATCCAGAGACCATCAAACAGATCGGACTAGGGCATTTCATTGATGGCTACGTAATCATATGAAGCTGAAAACTGGTGTTTTTGTGTGATTATAAATATGATTATTTTTTGAGTTTATCGGACGACTGAAAAATGATACGTTTAAATAGAAGCGGACGAGATCTGTTCACATATAGTAGTGACAGGAAATATGTAACCCGTTTTATTATATTGTATTATAAATAGTTGACATTGTAGTTCAGTAGCGTTGTTTGTAAGGACATTGTTTAAAACACAAGGAAACTGCTACTAAGAGGAAGGAAAAAGAGGGGAACCCAATCCGGGTGTGTAAAATAGCTTGTAATAGCTAATAACTAAACGTATGGATTCATGGTCAAAAATAACGCACATTTTTTATAATAGGTGGGCTACATTGAGAGCACATCGATAATGATGCAAGTCCGCTATCGGCAAAACGCTGCGTTCTTCTTGTGTATTTTTTTTATATATATATATATATATATATATATATATATATATATATAGTGCGTTTAGTTAATCCACAACGAGTTTTAATGGTTTGCTCTCATTCATCAGATTTGTACTCATCATGAGAGTAGTTAGCTGAGGGTGGTCAACCAAACGTATTCAGTAATTTCGAAGGCGCGGTCCTGCTTGGGAACAATACTTCAGCTTTCGAAGTTATAATTTCAGAAAAGAGGAAACTACTGGTCTGACTTAGCTGAAAACAGCAAAAACGGAACTAATAGAAGTGTCGATTTTGAAGCCTTGCTTCAGATACCTAGCTTCCATCACCAAGCAAAATGTGTGTACGCCTGATTTCGAACGTAGACCACCTATTGAGCTCGCTGCTCCATCACGAAGAAAATGAAACAAACCTATTAGGCTTCATATGTACTATATAATAATGTAGATATGCCAAACGAATGGCTTCGATAACGTCCCCATGCAGTGCGTGTCGCCTTCGCCTAAAATCCAGGCATAGGCGTACTTCGTACTGGGAGTCAGCCGTCTAATGCTTGAACGTTTAAGTACCAAACAAAAAACACGGGCATCTTTTAAGCATTTCACAATACAAATATGAGAGAGCATTTGTGCAGCTCATACTGAAGAACAGTAATAAAATGGAGCGGAATCTTTATATTTATCAACAAGTTCCCTTTTTTGGCTCGACCGACACATATACATCCTTTCGTTGTATGTATCTCATTGCGTTATCAACTTTGATATCTCCCCGTTATATTTCAATTGTAAAGCTATATTTTAGGGACTAAATATCTTCTCTCTTAGATCAGTGTGACTTGTGGGTTTAAGCATTGTTTCTGAACGCGTGTTTACGGACCGTAATATATAATGTTGGTAATAGTTGTCATATCATTAGCACTGTTTTTATTTTTTTCACGGTAACTTTGCACTTATTAAATTATTTTATTAACATGAGCAAAATATGCGGAAAAAGGGAAACCTCAGCTTTGCCTTCATTGTCATTGTCTCTCATAGTATTTAGCATTCGATATGGTAAGCTATGATTACCCGTATTCAGTAATTTATGCAGAAACATGTTTTTCTTTACGTTCATTTAGCCACTACTCGTTACGTCGGTGCTTTTATCGACTGGAATATATTGTAGTTTATAAGTTTCAGGATAATCTGCGTTCAACCTAAGCGTTAAGATGTAAAAAGGCTTAACTTCGTATAATCGTCTTTTCAAACGGAATTCTGAGACAAAAATATTGATGTATATATAGTAATAAAAGAGAATGCAAGCTTGCCGAATAAAAAACTAAACAGGCAGAGACATATTCATACTTTCAGAATCTTTTTCTCTGCTATACATGTGCGTACATGTTACTTTCAATGTACGTGCTGAGTGCTACAAGAAAGCAAACTACATCAGCAGAGCGGGTGCATAACATACACTGATCGATAGAAAGAACCAGCTAGTTATTTCGTTACCCCTTGTTGTATTCACCATATGTGTACAATCAACATTCGTATACACATCTATCCTTCTAAACACAACGGAATCTGGGAGGCAGCAATGGCTCGCAATAATACACACGAAGCGGACCCCTGCATCTCCGCACGGACCCGCTGATAGACCCCGGCAGGCAACAGTTCTTGTCGTTGTTGTCCGTTATTGCCGCGGCTGCCGTCGTTGTTGTTGCGTACTTGGCCAGTGTGGTGGTCTGTCTGCGCGTTTGCGTTCGCGAGCGTGAGTCAGTCCGTTTGTCTATCAGCCCAACAGTCCATTCGGACCTTTCGTCTTCACGCGACGCTGTTGCAGAGGCGCTATCCAGCTATTGCTACAGCCAATGCGAACAACGGCGGGTGGGACAAAGCTGGTTCGCTGGTTGCCGTGTGTCAGTGCAATAGTGACCCGTTACAGGGCAGAGCTGCCGCCGCAAGGCATCGTGCATCATCCACGAACGGTCGTCACTGACGCCGCCGGCGCCATTTGAGCGTCAGCAACGGCAGCCATAACAACGACAGTAGCAATCGGCGCTGGTGCATAGCGAGAACTTCAGCGCAAGCTACAGCGACGGCGACGCTGGTCGGCTGGTGTCGCTGTTGGTGGTGGCTCCGTTCTTGCCTTCGTTCGACCGTCTATTGGAAAAAACGCCATCGTTTCCACTGCTGCTGTTGTTATTGCCACAGCGTAGTTACCCCGCTGCTGTTGTCGGAGGTGTCCGCCGAGCGTCAACGTTTTCCTGCAGCGCTGTCGCCCGACGACCAACCAGCGGCTAGCAAGTGGCAATCGGCCCTGCCCAGCCTGCTTCGGTTTGGCTTCACCGCTTTCTTAGCATTTTTCGATGGCGCTCTTCTTGCAACTGACTGACTGGCACATAGCGAACGTTCGTTCATCCGTCCGCTGGATAGCGGCGCACCAAGTTGGTACGCAGCAGCGAGAAAAAGAAAGAGACTATGAAGGTGGCAACGGTCGCGGCAGCGGCGGCAGCAAGCGACTTCGGTGTTGATAGTGGAAGCAGCGGCGGCGTAGCCGTTGGCGATTGAGCCAGTTAAGGCGGCCGCCGGGTTCTTGTTCCCTTGCCGGTCCGGGCTCAGCCGCGCCATCGGTGCGCCATTCTGCTGCCACTGCAGTTGCTGCTGGTGCCTCTGAGCGCTGCTGCGGAACTAGCGCGCGCGTAGTGTCCCCCATATAGCATATGGATAGCCGCCGGTGGAGCTTTAGCTGGCAGCCGTGTTCATCTCTAGCTCTGTCTTCTCGGCATTGCTACCAACCGCTGTACTGTCGGCCACAATAATGGGCCACAGTACCAACGAACCAAACAACTGCTATCCCTGCGCGCCACAGAACACATGATGCCAGGAAGGGCTCCACATACATATATATATGTAGTACAGTTGCTGTTCTGTCGGTCAGATAGTCCGTGGTCAGTGGGCTGCCGCTGTCGCTCTGGCAATGTGTGGCAAGCTGACTACCGTCAGTCGAGGCAGAGCTGCGAAAACTGACCGGGTGCTGAAGCGCGATCGCAGACCATATGTAGGCAGCTGGTGCCGAGTGCGTATATATAGTTATTGAGCTGTGAAAGTCCTTATAATGTCTGGCACAGCTAAAGCTACGTACCAGCCAGGACAATATGACCATCACACGATGACGTCGTACATTATCGTGCATGTATGTGTGTGTATGTAGAATTATGGAATTGGAAAGTGTTCGACTAGTAACTGTACTCGTAGAAATAACGTAACAGAACTGTATAGTAGTCTCGATCTTTATTGCCGAGTGGACCGATGTGCACGTTCGCGTTTTCTCGGCGTATCCACTCACGCCCAGTAAATATAAGTAAAGACGATGTTTATTTTGTAGGTGGACACTCAGAAATGCTATATAATGAACTATAATAAATACATTGTTCACACAGGTAACCAGAGACACTGAGCGACTCAATAGAGATGCAGTTCTTTGAATCCTCCTGTTCATTAGCACAGCTGCGGAGCTTCGACGACGAAAATAGCCATCGGACGACTGAATCCATCGCATGGCGGCTTCACAAATACCAATCGTCTCCGTTAGCCACCAGCCAGCTGACAGCAGTGCACTCAGTTACCCTAGACGGCGTAGTAACCTTATTCAAAATCTCATCTGGAAAATATGAACATCTTTGCTCATGAGAGGTGTTCGTACTTCGGAATTCAATACTCGATCTAAAGGAGATAGAGCAGGTTCGAAAACGATGTACTTATTTAAATCATCCGGTGAATACTGTAGACGGGGTCGCAAGAGAAAACAGTCAAGATCGATGATGGTTTTGCTAGATTTAGAGAACAGGTAAAGGTTGACGGCATTGTTTAATTTATTTAAAATATCCTATAAAACAATCATATTGCCGAACTATTGAGCAAACGTACTTGCCTATCTAGTGTACGCGCCTACAAACACGAACCATGTAATCACTGTTTCTCTATTAGTGGCTATAAAGCGGAGTCTTTTGTATGGTATTTAGTACGGTCTGTGAACTGAAGAGCATTGTGCTGTATTTTGTATTCTTCAAAACGTTCTATGTTGCGTCTATAAGGTTCATCGGTGGCAAGATTTGAACCATCGACCACAGGCTATAGAGGTTTTAGTTGTCCAAGCCAGCGAGATGATTCTTCCGTGTTCATATCGTCGGCGGGTTTCTTTTGTTTGATCTAATTTTGTTGATCTAACAAACAGCTGATCGCAGACATAAATCGAAAGGCGAAATGAAAATGTCCGTGACAGATGCTATGTCGGAACTCACACCAGCCTACCGGGAACATAAGTATTAAATGTAGTATCACTAAGACCACTATAAAGGTAAAGTATGTACACGCGCCTCGGGCAATTTCGACATTCGGTTCTCGTTGGGATTTTCTTTACAAATAAAGTCAAGTAGGAAAATTGTCTTTCTCATGTTAATGAGCAGGCCTTAACTTTACCTTAATGCAGCTCAAATAGAGTTCCCCCAAGCGACGGTACAACCAGTCACAAACCTCTGAACGAGCCGAGGCCATGTAGCGGAAATATGCCCGCGTTGAGAAAAATTGCTTATCATGGAAAAGGCGCTAGATGATTATTGCTATAAGAAACCCCCTATCAAGTTAGTTAAGTTTATAGAGACGGAAGCTATTCAAGAATTCACTTCGTTTCTCATCTCGCCGATAGCTACGTCATCGATTTCATCATCTGTACCTGCTAAAAGAAACAAAAAAAATCCAAATGGTGACGCCTTAACAAGCTAGCGAGGAAAGCCATTAATGCAATGTTAACAGTCGATCTTAGCACTGCCTTGTTCCAATAGCTAACTCTTCCGATCATGCGTTTAACCTGAGGGAAGTAAACGAACGTCAGAACCGAGGTAATCTAATAATCTTGCACTCAGATTCGATGCTACTTTACATTAGGACTACGGCTGAGTATCGTTCTCGTGATTCGATTTCAGTAGCAAAAAGTGGACCCACTCTTCGATCGGCCTAGGAAGCTACAAATGTCGATTTAAAAACTAATTTATGCTAAATGTCTACACGCAAGTTTCAAGATACATGGTTATCTGGTCGTTCTTTTAGATGTTGTGTGCAGTAGTTTTCACTGGTCTGTTTGCTGATGTCAGGCACTGAAGACCTCGTTTCTTTACAGTTATTATTTTTTTAGGGCATCTAGAAACGCACGCCTGTTGTTTATTCGGCAAGGTCCAACGTTTATATCACTTCAAGAGCTGTGTCAGTCTGGAGCACAGTCACATTCAAAAAACTAAGGTAACCGATTTGACCGATAGGGAAAATACGAGAGCCCAAGTTCTGTCTTCTAGAGGCCTAGTGTAATTCGTCCTGTTACGGACGTAACGCTAGCAAAAATTCATTTGCTCCATAGAATGTATATGTCTCGTAGGTTTGTCTTATTGGAATTAAGAATTGGGTTGATTTGCGGCTTGTGGCCATAACTATAAGGCCATAACTATAAGGGTTAAGGCTTCATAGAACGGGGCGCTTTTCGGCGAACAGATATAACGTATTGCCTTGTAACTATTTTAGCGAATTATGTAGCGATTAATGTTCATCATGACGGTTTTACATAAGCACATAGTTTATTTATAAATACACAAAGCACAAAATGGCGTCCACTATTGATGTTATCACAAACACCCTAGCCTAATACAAATCTATCAAAATCCTTTGGATTTTTATCCACGCTGCTAACACAGTTTGTGCCACCTGCCGAAACGAAAAGGGAATTTGATGACACAGAATGTGTGAGCCTTTCCTTTAGTCCACCTGTCTGTCCCGATAGGGAGCCTGACGCAGACTTACGGTACCTTTTTGTGACGAGCAGCGTTTTTTCCCGCAAAAACACTCTAAAAATCTCTACCAATATGTGTTTGGGAGCGAGGACCGAGGCATGAGGTTGTAACGTTGTTTTCACCCGTGGTGGAAGCTCTAGTATCTATCAAAAATTAATGAACTTTTTATAATAGATCTAGAAATAAGGCAAGGAGATAGAGTTTGTCTCGTAACTTCTTCTCAAAGGACTTCGCAAAGGTTTCAAAATGCTGTTTTTCGTAATATATTCCTCGCATATAATTTGCGAAACCTAAACATGCTTCGGATATTCTCTGCTCTGGTAAAAAGGTGAATTTCTTGGGTTCAATCTGCATGGCCCATCGTTGCAACGATCCCGCCTCAGCAATCCAGACCCGTAATGGCTCCGTGACGAGAAGGAGGAATGACGCTAGTCGTCGGTAATACTATCGAGTGATAAACAAAGCAATGGCGTAATGTCGAGATGGCCCATGAAAAAATTCCAGCATTCGTGACCCACATTGGACAGCAGCATGTTTGCAATAGCGCGGGCTCCTAAAGATGTTGTGGTGTGAACTTCGATCCTGATGGGTTGTAATCGGGGCAAGGTCATATAAATAAAAACCCGGACCTGGATAAGAGGGTGAATCTCAAAAAGCAAAACGACATTAATGGATGCAAGGCACTATAGGCAGTTCTATCCGGTCAAAACAAACAATTTAAATTGTTAGCTTCTAAAAGGAAGTTCGCCTATATAATTTGAACGATTAAGGCCAGTGGTAGAGATTGTAAAATTTCGTAAGTCCCCGAGTGCAGTGCGCCTATCCCTAACGTCGGTGGGGCGAGGATTTCTAAGACGTAATCCTTTTAATTGAATTTGTGACCGACTCCTGTTTAGTGCTTTTTTCTGGATGTCCAATTCTAAACGCTACGACAACTTAGGGTGCCTCCTATATTTGCCCTAAAAGAACGCTCCTTCTCGTCGCAAAGAGGCGATTCATAGTAAGCAGCGTAAATTTTGTATGTCGATTTCATTTGGATGCCGAACAAATACTTTTGACTGATATAATAGAAATAAATCTGAGTTGGACTGAAAATATGGCAATGAATCGTTTAGTTGTACCATGCAACAAATCAAATGATCTTAACCGTACGTGAATTGGTTATGGATTATCATGTGCCAACGGCACCGCCTCTGACCGGGAACCAGATAGCTTCGAGAGCGTTTTAAAGACTTCAAAGAAAACATTTTTAACCATTTTAAGCCGTACACAGAGGCTTTCAAGCGATTTAGTGCATCGCGGTCAATATAATAGCCTGGGCATCTAGAAAAGCTCCACATGCCCATCTAGCAGGTAGTTAGGTTAGCGATAATATTTGCATGAAGTCAGATGAACGAGACCCTGTACGGGGGCTGATGAAATCTATTCACGAGTAAGAAACAGTGCAAAATGAAAACAAGGGAACCAATTCAAAAAAACAGCACTCAAAATGACAGCGTTTCGTTCGATCAAGCTTTTCCATAATCGTGTAAAATCCGGTGCACCCAGAACTTCTCTAAGAATCATTTTTTCTGCTGCTAATTATAGCAAGCAAACGTTCGTATTGCAGCTGTCAGTTAAGGTTGTTGCTTTGAGCGATAATTAATGAACCAGAAGATCGCGTCTCTTTTTTGACGCATTTTACTTACGATACAACACGAAACAATGCGCTAGAAGAGTGGATACCTATGACACTGTTGAAATGCATCTGAAGCTCAGTATTTAAGGAAGGATCGTCTTTATAGTTGACATTACTGATAAGAAAACTTTATGCAAACTTTATTTAAGAAACTTTATGAAAGAACCCATAAGATATGCGTATTGCGCCCTTAGAAACAATAAGTTCTCGGCTCTAGTTTGCGACCAAGGACTTCGATGCCTAAGAAAAACGCCGATAAAGACATCTAAAAGGCGGTGCATGCAAGAGCTATTTTGCTTTAAATTAATGCTAAATCGGCTGTAGACAGATCGTATTCAACCGATGAAACTCGGAGTCCCGTGCACACTTATAGTCAGTGAGTTGTCGTTTAATGAAGGTCGATTTCCCACTAAAAGGGGTCGGCTTGTACCAATTCAGAAAACACCTGCTCATGTGCTCAATTTCCCACTTCTCACCTATAGATGTCCCTCTAAAAATTGGAAATATACCGCCATCATATAGGTGCACTAATCTCAATTCTGTGTCGGTAGTGCCTATATTAATATAGTACTAGACCACCGTTATGTATATGATCTCCTTCAGTATAATATGCCTCTTTGAGAATTGCATTGCTCACCCGTGAGTCTCTACAATTGAGAAGGCTATAATAAACGATCACGTAAATAATACGTCCCGTAACCATATACATGTACACCAATTCATACTATATATATATATATATATATATATATGTGTGTGTGTGTGTGTGTGTGTGTGTATACTTTTTCATAAATTTTTTCTATTTTCGTAAGCAAGGCAAACAGATTACTAGGCAAGTGTAGGGATTCTCTATTGCTGTTGTTGTTGTTCAGTTGATTGTAACCGGACAACGCGATCGAACGTTGTTGTTCTTGTTGACGGCAGCGATCTTTGTCGCCAGTTGTCTTGCCACTAGACAACGCCGCCGTCCTTGGCGTCCGCAACAGCATCGCGCCACAACGACCATTGCCACCATTACCAGCAGCACGACTAGTAGCTACAGCACGCCATTAGAACAGAAGACCGACAGCGGTATGAAATCCGTCTGTCTATCAATTGCAGAGACAGCAACGACTGGCGTGGCAGCCGTAGTCGTCGTGAGCCAGAAACAGCAACCAACAGCCGACAGCAACGGCTTCAGCGTCGGTTCAGCCGTCAGCTAGGGCATAAGGTGGAACGAACTGCCCAGAACCACGCAGTGCAAACATTTACAACAACAACAACACGAGGCGTCCATGCATTGTAGTCAGCAATCAAGCACGTGAGAGCAGCGGCCAGTGGCGGATATACGGC